GTTATTGCGTCAAAAATCTTAGTGTTAAAAATTTTTGTGTTAAATATTTAACACTTTTATGTGTAAATTTAAGATTTATTCTGTTAAATCAACACAAAAAAGTGTTTAATATTTAACATAAAAATTTTTAACACTAAGATTTTTGACGCAATGACGCAAAATTTTTTGCTGTGTATATTAGAGTGATTTATTTGGGACGGCTATGTATTTTATTCGCTTTATTAACATATGGTTCTATGTAAAGTAAAAAAAACAATTTCTTCAAGGTTTATTCCGTTATTATAATTTTATTGTTTTCTTTAAAAATTGAAGTTTTTTTTAATAAATACGTATAGGAAATGAAGAATTATTTGTGTTCTACAATTTAAAAGCCTTTGACACTACTGCATTGGACCAAGGCGTAGCTTAAGATAATAGCATACACCTTGAAAGGACTTTATCGATATCAACTGACATATTTTGGTATCAAACTTAAACTTTTACTAAATAATCTTATTTTTTGCGTATTCAATGGAACACAGTAAAAAATTTTGTCATTGCGTCAAAATTCATCGTTAAAAATCATCGTTTTGGCATGGAAAATTAAAAAATTTATGCTTATATAAGCCGAAATTTTTAATGAAATTTTTACATTTAAAATTTATAAGGGGATAGAAACTGATACGTCATATGGAACAAATTAATTTTAAAAATAGAACTGCAGTCTATAGTTCGATAAAATTTTTTTTCCAGATTTAAATTATCATTTAAGAGGGCAAATCATGCATGAACAGTTCTTGTCAGCTGATATATGGAGTTTTAATCCTTTTCTATTAGGCTAGAACAGACATGATCAGACATGGACAGGTCTGATCAGGTCTGAGCATATTTAACGGTTCAGACATGAACAGGCATGAACAGACATGAGCAGGCATGAGCAGGCTTGATCAGGTCTGATCAGGTCTGAGCGTATTTAATGCTTCAGACATGAACAGACATGAGCAGGCATGAGCAGGCTTGATCAGGTCTGATCAGGTCTGAGCGTATCTAACGGTTCAGACATGAACAGGCATGAACAGACATGAGCAGGCATGAGCAGGCTTGATCAGGTCTGATCAGGTCTGAGCGTATCTAACGGTTCAGACATGAACAGACATGGACAGGTCTGATCAGGCCTAATTTCAGGCCTGATCATTAGGGTGTCCGTTATTTACCAAGTTGGCTTAATCCACTTGGGTATCGTCAAAATCATTTGTTTTCGACCCAAAAACAACTTTAAAAAAAGAAATAATTTTTTTCGATGCCATTTAACCCTGCCTAAATCACGATACTTTTTCCATTTAAATAACATGAGAATTTTTCTTTTTTTGGAAATTATTTTTTTACTCGCTCATTATACTCAATAATTCATTAAATATCGTTGATTCTGCTTCCGGTATGGTCACTTTAGATTAAAAAATTCTCAGATAGGGGTCAAAAATTTTTTTTAAACGTTTTAAGTAGGTCCAAAATTATTTTCATCATATTTTTCAATAATTTTGTTTAAGTTACTTACCATTCCATATTTAACGCTAAATTGGTTGTCAAGCATTCACAGCAATTTTTTTGAGGTCTCATGAAAATGATAAAACACAAATAATCATTTATTTCAAGTAGTAACAGTTTTAATTATCAAATAAGTAAAAATAGTTTGATGGCTTTTTTTTATAAATAATCAAATAATTCATAGTGTTCCTTTGACTTATACTTAAATCATCATTCTGTTTAAATACTTCTAATTATAATATTATAATATATATTTTATATATAATATATTATATATTTTTATATAAAGCAAATATAATTAAAATAATCATTAAGTTTTCATTTTTTTTGTCAGGCATTCTTTCGTTGCGTTCGGAAATTCATTTTTGTACTCCTTTATTACCTGGAGAAGATACTGCTTTTGACTCTCATCCTTAGCAAGAACATTGACGTAGTCCTGAGTCAATTGTACAGCTCGTTCGGCTATATCGTTAACTACTTTAATATTTTTAACAATTTCCAATCCTTTTAGGTAATTGTCATTTTCATACCAGGTTTCTACTTCTGTTTCCAAAAAGTCTTCGCTGATACCAAATCTTTTAAAAAAACCTAAAGTATGACAATTGACAAAATAATCAATTTCTTTAGTTTGTAAATTCTTAATATCATTGTCATTGTTAATGAAATATTTCTTTGGACATCCAAATTCATAGGTGGTATCCAATTTCAAAGCTCTGATCATTTTGCGTTTAATATGTACTGATATATTCTCATCAAAAAACGCAAACGCAACAACTTCTGGGCTCAAGTACCAGAAATGATTCGTTATTTTTTTTAAAACTGCTTCAGACACACTTTTATCGACAGTTCTATAAGCATAAACAGTTTTCACAAATTGTAAATCCTGGTTTGGAGCGGCTACAGCCAGAGGTGCTGTAAACCAAAATCGCACATATACGAACACCACGAATAAACAAACGTCTAATAAACTTTTTTCTTCTTCTTTCGTTAGCTCAAAACATCACGAAAAATGTAAATTTTCAATGAGTAAATCGCTTTCGCCATCCAACGAGCGTGGTGGAAAGCACCTGGCTTATAAAAATTTACTTTTTGATGTTCAACGGTACCAAGAAAAATTCGAGACAGTTCAAGAAGTTCTTTGTAATCATCCCGAGGCAAAACAGTGCCTAGTATATTTTTGATGGTGTAATCAGTATCATCGACTTGGCTAATCAATTTTTTATGAATCTTGTTTCCCTCTAATCCGTCTTTAAATTTACTTTTGTCTATTGTACTCCAGCAACTTTGAAATTTTTTGAACAGTGGGACATTTGGTCCAGTAGTACCTGGTAATTTTAGAGTGAAAACACTTGTCAGAACAAGTTCATAAATGTGATGTCGACATGGTAACCACAATAAATCGGTTTCTAGCATTTGTTCCAATAGTACAGCGGCTCCACTATTACAGCCAAGATTAGACGCGGTTGTATCACAACACAATCCTTTGATTGATTCTGTTAAACTCCAATCATGGAGCACACTATAAATTTCCTCGGCTTGAGTAATTCCCTTTCCGTTAGGTAAAGCAGGTACACTTAAGAGTTTTTCAATTCCACTATTACTGATTAATATAGGTACTCTATCCATTTGCTTACAAGATATACTATCTGGTATGAGTTTACCGTCCCAGTGAAGAATCGCTGCAGTAAGCTGTACGTCACCAAATAACTTTTTTATTTTTATAGCTTTCTGTTCTCGAATTTTTTTGCGCTGTTCATTAAAAGATGTTTTGTTTAAAATTAAACTGTTGACGTCAAATTGGAGCGCTTCAGATATTGCGGATATAATCCGGACCGAATTTCTATACGATACTTTACAATTATCCAAAGTGGCTACGACATTTTCAGTCATAATATTAATAACTCCTCTCTCATTTTTCCGATTGTAGTATCGTCCACCTACTTCAAATTCTGATCTTTGACTGGGTGGTGACGAAGAACTAATCATTTCCCCACTGGACATAATTCCTTCTGAACTAATTGAACTTGATGGCAAATAATTATCTAAAAAGAAAATAAATTTTATTTCTCGTTTCTACAGTTAACAAATATTTCAAAGTAAAAATTAATATAAATTTAATACTTGAAATTTTCCTCGTTAACTCAACGTTATCTGACTCGTGTTCTATACTCTGAGATATTGTTTTAATTTCTTGACAAGGTGATAGTTTTATAAAGGAATCATCATTTTCTGAAAGTGGAATCTTTGAAGTTGATGGCTCATTGAAGTGATCAACATTAACAAGTAGATTTTCTGAAATAAAGAATGGATTGAAAATTTAATCAGAAAAAATAAAGTCAATTATTCAATTATTCTATAAAAATTTATGAATCAAATGAATATTTTTTTAACTTACCGGACAACTCGTTTGGACGACTTTGCTGATTGGCCGAAAAATTCAGGTGCAAATTTCTATCTGATCGTTGATCAATCAAAAAATTTTTTATTTCATTGCTGACCATTTCAAAAATTCGACTATGAGCAATATCAAAAAGTTGTTCCAATTTAAGAAAAAACTCTTGCTCTTTTTGATGATTTGATGGTATGCCAGCATTTTTATGTACCATTCTGTACTCTTCGTGCAAACTTTCCAATTTTTTTATACATCGTTTGTCATCTAGTATAAAAATCCCAGCAAACACCCAAAATTTTTTCACTTTTTCAATTGTTATTTTACAGCCTTCATAAACTGTTGTTTTCATGTTCTTAGTGCAATGAAATAATAACCTCAAAACTTGTTTGTTAGTGGGTAATTTATTTCCACTTATATCATTTGTTAGATTATCTAGCAAAAACATTGGTTTTCGTAAATTTAAATCCATGACAAAAATTTTTTTATTCAAAAACTCAAAATTTTTAAGATTAGAAAAAAAGTCTTAAAATATATTACTTTCACTTTTCCTTATTAAGGAAATTAAATTTACAAATTTAATATTTACCAAATATTATATTTTCAAATTGTTATCACGGATATTATGACAACATATTTTAAGTAACTTTATAACATTCTTCAAATGACCACGATAACTAAACTAGAGATACTACGTGAAAATTCAGACCATTATTTATTTTTAATTAGCTACAGTTTGTTGAGCGCCCACGTGACCGATATAGTGCAGCTCATATGTTGGTAATTATCATGTGATGGGTTTTAATTTATGCTAAAAATATTACAATTGGTACTTATGATCTCTCTATTACCTACTTAAACTAAAGTAATGAACAGTTCAAAAATTTTTAATCGAATATCAAATAGTTTTTCTAGTACAAATGGTAAAAGTATGAAAATTATTGATGACTTATGGCTTAAAAGTTTTATGAAACTGATGATAAGAGCGTCTGATAACAAATTTAGCGTTGAATATTGAATGGTAAGTAACTTAAACAAAATTATTGAAAAATATGATGAAAATAATTTTGGACCTACTTAAAACGTTTAAAAAAAATTTTTGACCCCTATCTGAGAATTTTTTAATCTAAAGTGACCATACCGGAAGCAGAATCAACGATATTTAATGAATTATTGAGTATAATGAGCGAGTAAAAAAATAATTTCCAAAAAAAGAAAAATTCCCATGTTATTTAAATGGAAAAAGTATCGTGATTTAGGCAGGATTAAATGGCATCGAAAAAAATTATTTCTTTTTTTAAAGTTGTTTTTGGGTCGAAAACAAATGATTTTGACGATACCCAAGTGGATTAAGCCAACTTGGTAAATAACGGACACCCTAATGTAGAGTTTTTTGTTCTTATTTCGTTATAAGTTATAAATAATCAATTAAACTTCCGATTGAGATTAAATTATTGATAAAGTATCACTAAGACTTAAATGACAGACGAAATTTTGGGAATTTTCTATTATAACATCTGTAATCAAAATACTTGTCAGTGAATTTACGAAAATTTAAGAGATAATTGCTCATTTTAAAACAAAGCAATATCCTTGACTGTCGATTCTCTTTTTCGAACATTTAAAAAATAAATTTATTATTTAATATATACACAGCAAAAAATTGTCGAAAAAATTACAATCGTATTTAGAAAAAATTTTTCGTCAAATTTTACACAAAAAAGTATGTTAACGACTTTTTTTACTCAATCTTACTGTTATTTCAACTCAATCCTCGGGTATTGATGAAGTAATATAAATGTTAAAAGTAACACAGCTGTGTTAAAAGTAACCCAAATTTACGTTAAGATCCTCGAGCTTCAGTTCAAATTAACATTTGATTTTGTGTTACTCGGGATTGAAGTATTTGGTACAATCAATGCTGACAGATCATGGGATTTTCTTATCTCTTCCCAAGTAACGTTATGAATAACACACACTCATAGTGTAACTTTAACATACTTTTTGTGTTAATTTGAAAGTAACATTTAAAAAGTGCTACTTATAAGTACCGATTAACATTTTTGTGTGTTAAAAAACGGATCGATCGAAAAACACAAACGATTGAGTTCAATTAACACCCTAAAATGTTTAAATTTAAAACAATACCTCTAACATTTTACACGATAGCGAAAAATTTTTTACTGTGTAACATCGTAATCCAGGACCAGACTTTCAAGACAGTTTACTTTGATAATTTTATATTTTAAAATTTACGATGTTACACTGCAAAAATTTGGATATTTACTATTTTTATAGACACTTGTAGGATGTATGTAACATCGTAAATTTTAAGTTGTAAAATTATGAAATTGAAAATATTGAAGTTTGGTCCTGGATAAAATTGTTATTTATTGTTCTCCTAATTTTTCAATTGATTCGTCGAAAAAATAAATTTCACATCTACATTACGATAAGGAAGTTTAGTAAATCCAAATGTACATGCCTTAAGCACTTGTATCGTATGTAAATTTTTTTCAAATAACCACTCATCAGCAGTAGTAGTATGAAGTGTTTCCTTCATAGCAGAGTTGAGGTTAGAAGAAATAATTAAACGTCTTGTTACGGTTTCATCACGTTGAAGGTCTACTAAAATGCGACCCATATCACTCAAGTTAGAAATTAAACTTAAGGAATCTAAGGTAACACCTTTGAGAAGGTTAGACAACATAGAACCCAGTGTGGATAAACAAACAGAAACTTTTTGTTGTTTATCAGCTATTTTCTTATCCCTTGAAATGATTGGTTCCAAAACTGAAGCTTTGATTTCAGCATTCAGCTTTGGGGCTTCAAAAATGACACAATTTTCGGGAGTGAGATGTTTTTTGAAGAGATTCTTTCTCTCTTCGTCAGGTAAACCTTTCTTAATGATATCTTCCCAGCGAACAACAATATCATTTTGAAGAGGAGGTGCACGTTGGTTATCTGTATCTAACCGTTTACCCATAGCCTCCAAAATTTCAGGAACAAGGGTTGGTTCATTGGACTTTTCCGGATTTTCTGTGGGTTTTTCGACAGATTTTTCTGATGATAAACTTGCAGAAGGCAGTATGTTCGGGTGATTAGTTGATATGGGAGTTCCAGCTGCATTTGATGAAATATTACTAATCGGAACAGTTAACGGATTGGAAGGTGTAGTTGATTGAGACTCAGTAGATTGTGAAATAACATTTGAATCAGCGGATGTAGAAGTTGATGGTGAAACTTTATCACTATTCAAATTTTTCAATAGCTGTGACGACAAAGTCGTATCAATGTCAATTAATGGAATTGTTGGAGGATTCTTTCTTGAAGGAGACTTAGAATGATGTCGGTTCCGATGAGATCTGTTACGACTGCGGTGTGATCGGTGATGGGATCGATGATGGTGAGAACGATGATGAGAACTATCATTTGAATTCGATCTGAATCTTTTTAAAGATTTTGATCGAGATCGGGATTGAGATTTATCTGCAATCAATAAATAAAAGGCTGTTGGAAGTTGTCCTACAGGAGACCAAATTTATTGGTTTAAATTAATTAAGTGTACTTGACACTAATTAATTATAAAGCCTAGAAATATTGAAGTGACTTGCACTATATTTCTTATTATGAATTTAATGAAAACTTGTTCATTAGTAAATAAAATTATAATAAACAACGTTACTTGAACGTAAAGTAACCTTACTTGAAGGATAACAAAAGCATTAAGTCATTAAGAAGACGTGAAACATAACCAACGTGTTTTTTTTTTTTTTTTTACTTACAATGCTTTTTCCGTAAGAAATTAATTTCTTCATCTTGACGATCCAATTTTCTTTTTAACCGCCTAATTTCAGCAACGATATCCAAATTTTGATTATTCATGTTTAATATAAATAATAAAAGTTATGAAAAATACGTGGCTTTCTTTGAGCACAAAGAAAAGGAATGAAGATCGTATATACTGAACGCAGTATCAGACAAGTAAGCAACAAGATATTGTTTTTTTTTTTGTTGCTTACTTTAAATATTGTGGCATTCTGAGCTGAAGTCAGGGTACTATGATTAATGATCTTGAGGAGGAGGCGTGGAATACAATTGAACAAATTTTCAAAACTAAACCAGTCCAAATATGTTTCAAACAAACAGAAAAAAAAATCTGGAAAGCGGTTGACCCTAAAGGCCATACCCGCAACTTCCCGCCAATTCCATACCTAAACGGGTGCCCGTCGTAAACAACTCGGTCCAGAACAACTCCGGTCAAAACAACTCGCCCTAAATAACTCCGGTCAAAACAACTACTGTTCAAAACGACTCCGTTCCAAAATAACTCCGGACGGAACAACTCCCGACAAAAACAACTCCGGACAAAATTACTCCTGACATAATAACTCTATTCCAAAATAATGTTAAAAGGGCGCAACACAATTACAAGCTTCTGTGTTGGTATAATGTCGAATAAACACACACAGCAACCTTGTTAAAAGGGCGCAACACAATTACAAGATTCTGTGTCGGTATAATATCGAATAAACATACACAACAACCTTGTTAAAAGAGTGCAACATAATTACAAGCTTCTGTGTTGGTATAATGTCGAATAAACACACACAGCAATTGAAATTATGTAGAATTATACATGACTCTATATACTTTTACATAATTATATAGAACTATACAAAATGACCGAGAATATCCCGCATGGAAAAATATATATGCGAAAAATATATGCAAATATATATTTTCACATATATCCACAGATTCGGTAGAATCTGGCGCCAAGTTCCGTTCAAATCCGTTGTCAACGGAGCGCCAGACTACCGACTGTGTTTACTGTAAGCAGAACGGTATTTTGAGGTTGCAAAATTTTATTTATTTCTACGGTACTTTTTTTTCATAAATTGTATATTATAACAGTAATTCATACTTTATTTTACTGTTATTAATTAATTATATTCACTTATAACAATTAATCTACTTGAAATTACTAAATTTAATCAGCACAAACTATAGCAACGCAAAAATTTCGATCCTGACTTTTTTTCGATAGGCAAAGTGATCTGCCACAGACTAAATAATTCGAGAATGCATAGTAATCCTTCATTAGATGGGACACTACAGTTAAAAAAAGATATTTCACAGCTTGCATCTACACCCGCCAGGGTGCGCTGGAATTATTTTTACATAAACTGTAGCTTCAAAGGGATAGTTTGCTATAAAAAATGCAGCCAACGCTAGATTTAAGTTGGTACCAATTGTAAATTTTTATTAAAATTACAAAAAAATCTAAAAATCCGAACAAAAAACAGTTTCACTGTAAAAAAAAGCGCGCCAAGTCCACGTTCATAAGACTATTAGAAAAAAAAAATAGTTTTTTTCTTTACAAAAAGATATAAAATAAAAAATTAAAAAATCCAAGTAACCGATATGATTGTATATGATTTTCCGAAATTAGAAAAAATTATGTTGTAA